AAAAAAAAAAAAAAAAAGACAAGACAGGGTCTCCCTATGCAGCTCAGGCTGGCCTTGAACTCACTATGTAGCCCAGGCTGCCCTTGAACTCACAGTAATCCTCCTGCCTCAGCCTCCCAAATGCTGGGATTACATGTGTGCACCACCATACCTGGCTAGACAATACTCTAAGCTTTTGGAAAATTCAAAATCCAAAATGCTTCTAGTCCCAAGCAGTTTTGATGAATAATAGTCACTCTAGTTAATCATGTGCAAAATTATTTAAGGAGGAAATGGATGGATGGAGGGCTGCAGCCTAACTTTTCATTTTTCTTTTTCCCTTCTTTTTTCTTTTTTCCTCTTCTTCTCCTCTTCCTCCTCCCCCTCCTTCTTTTCTGAGTAGCCCAAGCTGGTCTCAAATGCATGGCAATTCTCTTGCCTCAGCCTCCCGAGTACTAAGACACTAGACATGCACCACCACGCCCAGCCACATGCTCTTTAACTTTGAAATGTATAAAACAGTAAAAACCACGATGGTGCAGCGGGTGGGCAAGGAGAGAGACATGGCAAAGAAAAAACAGAAAAATGCTACCAGTTGTGCCCACGGGTGGGAGTAAGAGTACTGCTGTACAATCCTTTCAATCTTTGTGTGTGTGTGTGTGTGTGTGTGTGTGTGTGTTTATGTCGTTCTGGGATAGCACTCGGGGGCTCCACACTGAACTACATCCCTTTTGTACTTTTTATCTTGAGACAGAGTCTTAGTAAATTGCCCAGGCTGGGTGTGAACTTGGGATCCTCCTGCCTCAGTCAGCAGAAAGCCGAGATAACCGGCGTGTACCCGCATAGGCCACTCAGTGTTCAGATGCTTGAAAAGTTTTATAATGAGTTGTTGAAAGCAGTGAGGAAAAAGAAAATAAGTAAGAGACAAGGAGTTTGCCTGGACCAGTGTTGACGCTGTGATGTTTCTCACTCGAGGAGTGAGATGAGGTCCCTCCTGAGCCCCCCTCCTGGTGACTGTTTACTGTAGGCCCCAGGCTGTGGACCACCCACCGGGACGGAGAGGTCATCCTCAGGCTGTCCAAGCGCCAGCCGGGCCACGAGCCCCCGCTGACCATCCCGCAGCTTTTCCAAGAATCAGTCAATCGATTTGGCGCCTACCCCGCGCTCGCGTGGAAGAGCAGCCGGAAGTGGCAGACACTGACCTTCACGCAGTACTACGAAGCCTGCAGGAGGGCCGGCAGAGCACTGATCAAGGTAAGCGGGCCATTCACTCGCCCTCTTGCGCTCAGAATAAGCAACGCACGTGCACACAGGTGGATGCGATGACATCGAAACAGACAAACACGGATTGTTGAAAATCTCCCCTCTAATCCCTGCCCTCAACCGCCCAGTTCCTGTCCGTGGAGGCAACCACCACCGCCATCTGCATCTGCGTGTCCTTGGGGGAATAAATGAGGTGTATGTACTGTGTGCGCTTTATACAGGAACATTTTTGCATACCTGGTGATGTGTTTGCCCACAACCCTGCCTCTTGTTTTTGTTTCTTTGTAGACTGTCTCTGTGGATGTATGAGTTAGTTGCTGCTGTATAACAAATTACCCCTTAATGACTTCAAATGACAAACATTTATTGTCTCACATATTCAGAGGGTCAGGAATTCAGGCACAGTTTAGTTGCTGGGCCTGGCCTGCAGCATGAAATGTCATTGCAGCATGCAGGGCCTTCTCCTTCACTCCTATTCTCTCAGTCTCTAGTCCTCCACTCCATTTCTTTCTTCCCCCTTTTCTTTTTTGGCAGAATGGGGGATTGAACTCAGGCCCCTGTGCTTGCCAGGGAAGCGCTTATTCCACTGAGCCATCTCCCCGGCTCCCCTTCTACTTTTACACATCTAAACTCTAATCAGAAATTAATTAATCAAAAAAAAAAAGAAATTAATTAATCAGCCTCTCTGCACGTTAGCAGGGATACAGTCTGGTTACCATGAGGTTGACCTTTTGTCCCTGAGGCAGATGGCTGTCATCTCATCTTTTTGTTTTGTTTTGTTTTGTTTTTTGGCGGAACCAGGGATTGAACTCAGATCCTTGTGTTTGTCATGCAAGTGCTTATCCTACTGAGCCATCTCCCCGGCCCCCTGTCATCTCATCTTGACCCAGCAGCAAGCAGGTGTTTTCCATACCCCAGGAAGAGCAGAGCAGGTCATCACCAGCCTTGAGCCCACCTGATTAAAAAGCCAACAAAGTTGTAGGCCCCGAGAATACAAGAATTCTCCCTCCACGATGGCCATGCTCGTGTCCAAGTTTCCTGGTCTGTCATCAACTACATTCAAAAGAAGCCTGCACCGTGAAGTGAGCAAGTGATCACCACGGGTGAACATTCTTTGAGTGTTTTTGGTACTGAACAAAAATAACTTCATGCCCATGGACACAGCTGTTATTTCCTTTCCTTTTCTTTTCTTTTCTTTTTTTTTTTTTTTTTTTTTGGCGGAACTGGGGGTTGAACTCAGGCCCTTGCACTTGCCAGGGAAGCACTTATTCTACTGAGCCATCTTCCCGGCCCCCAACAGCTCTTATTTTCAAAAAACATAAAATAGCAACCACTGTTGAAGACAAAGACGTGGAGAACTTGTGGCCCTGTGAAATGGGCCACACTGCACACTGCTGGTGAGATGTAGGGTGGTATGGCCCCTGGCAAAATGAGCGAGGGGCCGGTCAAGTAGCTCAGCAGATTAAAATGCCTGCAAGCAGGCACAGGGGTCAGGGGTTTGATCCCTGGGCCTGCTGTGCTGGTCCTGTCCCCAAGGGTGTACTGAGGCGGCAATTGAGACTGGGCGTGGTGGCATGCAACCTGTAATCCCAGTTCTTGGGAAGCTGTAAACAGGCGGATCACTATGAGTCTGATCTGGTAGCAAGACCCTGAACACCCTGTACACCCTTCCCTAAAAAAAAAAAAAAGAAAGAAAGAAAAAGAAAACGATAAAAAATGGTGAAGGCAGGGGCCAGGGAGATGGCTCAATAGGATAAGTGCTTGACTGGCAAACGCAAAGATCTGAGTTCAATCCCTGGTTCCACCAAAAAAAAAAAAAAAAAAAAAAATGGTAAAGGTAGTGAAATCCATGTCCTGCACATTTTATAACAGTAATAACAGCGCCTAAAGGAGGTCTCAGGTAGAGGGAGGCCCACAGGCTCCCGTGAAGACGGGGGCATCGTACCGAACAAGTTAGGCCCAGTGCCAACCACTGCTTAGCATAGCATGACCACTTTTCTGTCAGTTTTCTCACATCTTTATGATCAAATCCCAGCCAGGAGTGATATGTCAGCGAGTGTATTCCTGGTTGTTTCTTCCCCTTCCAGCTGGGCTTGCAGCGTTTCCATGGCGTTGGCATCCTGGGCTTCAACTCCAAGGAGTGGCTTATTGCGGCTCTGGGGGCCATCTTGGCAGGGTAAGGCCACCACCCTGGAGCCTTGGGAGGGTTCTGATAGGGAGGCTCAAACCCAAGAAGGGTTTCAGCTGGATTCCCAGGTTAGCAGGCAAAACACATAGAAACATACAGTGGGTGTTTAAATGAAAAACAGAATTTATGCTTGGCATGGTGGTGCATGCCTGTAGCCTCAGCGCCTGGGGCAGAAGGATCACCTCGAATTTGAGGCCAGCCTGGAGTACATAGTGAATCCAAGGCCAGTCTGGACTGCATAGCATGACCCTGTTTCAAAAAAATACATTATAATAAAAGCCACATGGCTGTAAATCCTCATCAAAACCTTTCCTCTCGTATCAGACACATTTGTCCCACCATTCCTGCCACCTTCTGAAGCATGTCTGGGATTCCTCTTCCTCAGCAAGTGGAGAGGAGCAAGCAGCCTAGAAGGGAGAGAAACCTTTCCAGGCCCCGCCCCACCTGCCCAGCCCCACCCCCGCAACACATTCAACCCTGAACTCCTCAAAGGATGAATTAACTGATTCATGAACCCATAAAGATGCTCTCTAGTCAGCAGCCAGGAGAAAATGCAAAATAGAACCACAGCAGTGTGCTAGCGAGGCTCCATGGGGGAAACAGACTGTGAATGTCGGGGCACGGTGATGGTACACTCCTGTCATCCTGGCACTGGCAAGGCTGAGGCAGGAGGATCACCATGAGTTTGAGGCCAGCCTGAACTGCATAATGAGAGCCTGTCTCAAAAAAATGAAGACTGTGTGAGTGAAGGTGACGAGTGGGGGTTGTAATTCCAAGCAGCCTCACAAGCGTGACCTTCTGCTTTGCTTTGCTTTGCAAGATCTGGCCTTGCTATGCATGTTAATTCAGGCTGACTTTGAACTCATTGCCTAGCCTGGCCTGGAAACACAGATCTTGCCTCAGTCTCCTGAGTGTTATATGTGTACCCTCACCCCCAGTTCCTCATTTTTCTCATCTGTCCCTAGGTACTGTCAGAGTCCCAAGAGCTGTTGTCATAACAACAGCCTGGGAGCAACCACTCTGGTTCTTTTTTTTTTTATAATTTATTTTTTATTTTTTTATTTTATTTTTTTTTTCATTTGTTGTTTTATTTATTTATTTATTTTTTTTTCAAAGTTTTATTGACAAAGAGATAGCAATGAGACAGTTTCAAATCAAATCGGAAGGACAGTTTCAACAAATAATACACTGCATATATTCTTCTTAGTGGTTAATTGCTGTACAAGATGCGGACACCACTCTGGTTCTTATCCTCTTGTTACTTTCATCGCTATTCAGCTAGGGCAGAAGGGAGTTGGCGCTGTGGCTCTGAACTCAGGATCTGCTTGCAAACCCTTCCCCTCCCTGCCCCGCCAGGCCCTCTCACGGCCAGGTGTGTGGACACAGGTGCACACGTGCTTTCTTTTCCCAGGGGCCTCTGCGTCGGCATTTATGCCACCAGCTCTGCTGACGCCTGTCAGTACGTCATCACTCATGCCAAGGTGAACGTCTTGGTAGTTGAAAATGATGAACAGCTACGGAAAATCCTTTCGGTAAAACCCTACCCTACCACGGCTCTCCCGAGTTACCCAGCCAGGTGCAGAATTGCTCTCTTCGACTTCTTCCCTAAATTCTACTACTTCCTATTTTTTTTTTTCCCCTTTCAGGCACTTTCCTTCATGAGCTCTTGTATGTTTGCTTTGTACTCTTGCTTCCTGGATGTGTGTGTTTTGCACTTTCAAGTTTATGTTAGATGGCAATTTTCTTTTTCTTCGTGCAGGCCTGCTGAGCCACACTTGTGCATGGTATGATCCCCCCCCCTCTCTCTTTCTCCCTGTAGTGTCTTCGTATTGATGTTGGAGAAACATGTTGTTCCTCACACACATGCATTTGAATGAACCTCGGTTTCCATAATCAACTTTTGGTAGGAAGTTTCTAGAGGGGAGGACGGTCCTTGGGAGAACCAGGTGGGCGGAGTCATCGTTCAGCCCAACAGCCACTGGGACCACTTCCTCAATACCCTGTGGCAGGAATGGTGGACCGTTTCGAGCTTTCAGTGCTACAAACAACCGCTGTGGCATGAGTGCCAGAGGTGTGCCAGCACTTGCCCATGTCATCACTCTGAGTCACATATGTCTTCATTTTGTAGTATCTCCAGAGGAGAAGTATGTCTTAACTTTTTGAGACAAGGTCCAGGCTGGCCTTGAACTCACAACAACCCTCCTGCCTCAGCCTCCTGAGTGCTGGGATGTCAGGTGTGAGCCTCCATACTCAGCGTGCTACTCAGGGCATCCTCTGGTCTCACAATTGGCCTGTCTTGTCACCTGCAGCAGGAGGATGCGCTGTCCACACTTAATGAAGTCCTAGCTAGATGGAAGTTCTAACACTTTGCGTCGTGATGCTGCCCAGGGACTCCTAATTCCTGGCCTGGCTGAGGGAGCGCACACTTCTCTATCTCCAGCCTGGAGCTTTTAGAAGTTACTTTTAGCTTTCAATACTGAGGATTGAATGCAGGGCCTTAGTACGGAACCACATCCTGGCTCTTTTTTATTTTTATTTTGACATAGTTAAAAAAAGAAAAAAAAAAAAAAAAGGGAATCGAGATAGTATCTCCCTACATTGCTAACTTGTCCCTAAAGGCTCAAACCTGGGATCCTCTAAGGATGCTGGAACGACAGGCATGTGCCACCATATGTGGCCTGAAATTAATTCTGTAAGTGATGTTTCTGCCCCCAGGACACTGTCAGTACGTTGTCCCTGTTTGCTCTTCTTAGAGAGCAGCGGTGGTGGGTGTGCGAGCGCCTCTTCCTAGCCTCAGCCCTGACTTGATAGGAGTTTTCTGCTAGTGCAGTTTGCTGCCCACCTGCATCTGCCTCAAGGCCGTAGACACAGAGCAGCCCCTGAGCCATTTCTGTCTCCAAGTTCACCCAAAGTGCAGTTGGTGGAGAATTCAGTGTCCCGGCTGCTGTGTCTGAAAAACTCAAAACCAGGTTCCAAACTGGTGGTCAGGCTGCACTTGGTGAGCTTTGCTGTGGGGTAGGAATCGTAGACCTTCTCTGCTTATGCCTCCACCCTCGGAAGGTCCCTGTGGCCCTTAGAATGAGCTCTGGACTCCCTTTGCCTCCAAGCCCCTCCCCAGCCTTTCCTGCCTCCTCCCCCACTCTGCTCTCCAGGGCGCCCCACCAGCCATCCTTATTACAGTGAGACAGCAAGCTGGGACGTTCTTTAGCTCAAGGTCTCCATTCAGGGCAGCAGGATTCCATCTCACACGCAGTGCTGTGGTCCCCTCCCTTTGACTGTTGGATGTCACAAACTATCCACAGTCCCCAAACCAGGTCCTTGCTGGTCAGTCTAGACAAAGAGCAATACAGCCTGCAGAATTCGGGGAACACAAGAACTGAAGGTGCTACAGGAGAGTTCTGACTTCAGCCAGCTTGTGTCTCCCCCAGGGCTGTGTTACCATGAGGGTCACAGAGAACCTTCTTTCAGATTCCGCAGAGCAGCCTGGAGACCCTGAAAGCGATCATCTTGTACAAACCCGCGCCGAAGCTCGCCAACAACCTGTACTCTGTAAGTTGAAATACGGGCCCTGGGAAGAGGGAAGGTGGACTGTAGGAAGCCAGGTAGCAGAGCGGCTGAGGTCTCTCGGAGGAAGTGGGAAGGGAGCGAAGGGAAGGGGTGTGGCCTGGCAGAGAAGTGGGCGGAGCCTGGCTAAGGAGGTAGGTGGGGACTATCAGGAGCAAAGGAAGGGGTGTGGCCTGGCAGGGAAGTGGGTGGGGCCTGGCTGAGGGGGTGGGTGGGGACTATCAGGAGCAAAGGGAAGGGGTGTGGCCTGGCAGAGAAGTGGGTGGGGCCTGGCTGAAGAGGTAAGTAGGGACTATCAGGCAGCAAAGACAAGGGCAGAGCCTTGCAAAGGAAGTGGGTAGGGCTTTGTCATGGAAGTGGGTGGGACATATTTTTGTTTTCCAGCCTAAACGCATTGATTGATGGGAATGTGTACCTGCTGGTTGTTTATTACCGCATAACAGCCCATCTCTAAAATTGTTAGATTGAAACGACAATGATGTCATCAATTTGTGTTTTACAACATTCAAGTAGTAGAAAAATGCCCAAAAATTGAAAATTAGTTACATTACCACACATTTTAAAATTTTTTTATTGGTAAGTAACACTTGTGGGCATTACAGTGTACAACATATTTCGATGTATGCATGCATTGTGGGGTGGCTAAATCAAGATATTTAACATTCACACGTCTGCAAATATTTGCCTTTTCTTGGAGAGCACACAAAATCTACTCTCAGAGCAATTTTTAAATAATTCTGTTTTAGTTTAAATATTTTTCTTGTGCTCAAGCCATTATGTTTTATAACTTTACTTTCTGGTTTTAACAGATATAAAGTCATCAATATTGGTTCTGTTAAAACCGTTGGCTTAAAAATGTGGAAAAATGACCTATGAGTCACATCATGAAAATAGTAATAAGCAGAGATATGTGTAGTAAATATCTTAAAATCTTTACAATGGCAGCCATCTCTATCTTTAGATAGATATTTCCAAGTACCTGAATTTTTCTTTTTTATAATTTGCTAAATTTTTGTCATTAAATTCCATTTTCATTTCAGTTTTATATATTCATTTCAGTAATATATTGATTTTCAGTTTCTTAAAGTGGGAGGCTTTTTTGGTCGTCCTTTTTTTTTTTTTCCTAAAATTTTTTTATAATTGCCTCATATTGCCTCCTTTGTTTTATTTATTTATTTATTTATTTATTTATTTATTTGTGTGTGGCCAGCTCAGCCCACCAGGGGGCAGGGCTGGCTGGCATGTGGTGCTGGGGGATTGAACCGCGGTCCCTGTGCTTTGCTAAGCTTGTTCTAAGTAGGTGCTTTAGACCACTGAGCCATCTCACCAGCCCAAAGAGAAAGAGTCGGGACGGGGACGTGAACCGGCGGCCTCGCGCTCCGTGGCCCGGCGCCGAGTCCGCCGCGCCAGGTCGCCGCCCTCGTCCTTTTGAAAAGGCTTAGGCATTTCTGTCATAGCACTGGTATTATCATAATTAAGCTAGTCAGTAATATGCCAGTGAGGTGGTAAAAGTGGAAAGTAAACTTTTGGTGTAACTGCAGATACTAATTTGATAAAAGATGGGTAAAAAATTTAATATGTAAGATGTACATCTGGAAGGCAAATGTTCCTTTTGCTTCAGTCTCTGTCTTCATTTAGTTTTGATATCATAGCACAGACTTCTGGGCAGTCAGAGTAGCTTTTTAAATGTTGCACTAGAATAGTATTCCTCTTGAGTGCCACCGTGTTTTGTACGTGTGTTCTTACATTTTGTTCCCTATGTCCGGTTCCCAGGCTTCACCCAGCCCCAAGCTACACTGTCCCCTCCCCCGAGGTCTGTCCCTAGCTCTTTGTGCTGTCTCCTTATAGCCTCTCCAGCGGGTGACTTCAAAATCTCTGAACTCTTGGCATCTCAGATCTCTATAGAGAATGCCTTAGCAGGGCACAGTGGCACATGCCTGTCATCCCAGCACTTGGGAGGCTGAGGCAGGAGGATTGCAAGTTCAAGCCCGACCCAGGCAACTTAGCCACACAGGGTTCTTTTGAACCAGAAAATGTTTGATTGTAAAGAACAGAAATCCATTTATGCCAAAGGAGAGCATTGTTTTTTCTTTTTTCTTTGTGTGGCCTGCTAGGGACTTGCAAGGGACCACAGCAAGTTCTGTTTATTTATTTCTGCCTTATTTTTTCTTAGCTGACACATAACTGTACATACTTATGAGGATGTCTTTTGTTTGTTTTTGAGACAAGATCTTGTTATGTAACCCAGGGTAGCCTGGAACTTGCGGTGATGTTCTTGCCTCAGCCTCCCGAGTGAGGGGATTATGAGCAGGCTTCAGAAATGTCCATTTAGCATGAGAACTAATTAGGCAGTTGCTCAGAATTAGAGGTATTTTAGAGGCTCCGAGTAGCCACCACAGCAACAGCTTTGGATAATTTGAAAGTTTTCTGATTAGTTATAGCTGTAATGGGGCTGGCAAGATAGCTCAGTGGACCGAAGTGCCTGTGTAGGCAAGTTTAGGCAAGCACAGAAACCACAGCTCGATCCCTGGCACCACATACTGTGCCAGCTCCACCCCCAGGGCGGCCGAGCGGGCCAGAGCCGAGGCGCGTTGGCACATGCTATAATCCCAGCTCTGGGGAGGCTGAAAGCAGGAGCATCACCGCGAGTTCGAGCTGCATGGTGAGACCCTGTGACAACCAAATACATTTTAGAAAAAGAAAGAAATAGCTCTAAAATAGAGTCATACCTCTCATCCCAGCTATTGGAGAGGCTGAGGCAGAAGGATTACAAGTTCAAGCCCAGCCTGGGCAATTTAGCAACTCAGTGAAACCCTGTCTCAAAATAAAAAGGCCTAGGGATAGAGTTCAGAGGTAGAGTCTCATTGGATTTGATCTCCAGCACCGCAAACAGCAAACATTGACTGGCTGTCTCCACTCCTGCTACAGGTTTTTATTTTTATTTTATTCTGTTTTTTTGGTGGAACCAGGGATTGAACTCAGGCCCCTGCGCTTGCCAGGCAAGCACTTATTCCACTGAGCCATCTCCCCAACCCCTCCACTCCTGCTACAGGAACGCACGATTCTTTATGAAAGCTGCTGTCCTGGGCTTTGCAGGGTGCAGAACGCCATCCCTGGCCTCCACCCGCTAGGTGGCAGTAGCACTTCCTCTAATGAAAGCAGCAAAGCTGTCTCCAGAAATTGCTCCATGTCCCCAGAGAGGCAGAATCACTCCTGGCTGAGGACACTGATTTTTGGGGACAGATTTGTGACATTGAACAGCATTGACTTCTCCTCAAGGGTGAATAGGCACGACAGTTTTAAAAATCTGTTTGGGAACCGATTCATTAGAACTAAGACGAAAGCCATTTACATGAATGTAAATGGGGATATTTATTTTGGGGATAAAAATGGCAGAGTAAGTCGTTGAACAGGCCAATTGCAAGACTTGGCATCTCAGTACTCCACAAAAGAGACTGGCCTCGGGTTCCCAAGAGAGAGAGAGAGAACAGGATTGGCTCTGGGATGGCGGGTCTTCTGCCAGCTGTGTTTATTTAGTATTTTCGGGAAGGGTCTACAGGGTGTTCTGGGTCTCATTAATAGATCGGACTCGTAGTGATTCTCCTGTTCACAGCCTCCAAAGTGCTGGAATTACAGGCATGCGCCACCGTGCCCAGTCTCAATTGCACACCCAGAAGGTGGGGCCAGCACAGCATACCCTGGGGATTGAACCCCCGGCTGCTGCGCCTGCTTGCAGGCGCTTTAATCCACTGAGCTATTTGGCTGCCTGCTTGTTTTTGAGACAAGATCTTGCAAGGGCACACAGGCTGGCCTTGAACTCATGGCCATCCTCCTTGGGGGAATGGGCCACACATCTGTCAAGAAGAGACAGCGGTGCCCTGCCCCTAAAGTGTTGGACCCAGCCTGGATTTGCTTGCCTAGATGGGGCCAGCATAGCACCAGCCATTGCTGAGAACTCAGAAGATCTTTCACCTTGAAATGAGTGTCTTCCCTCCTCTGGGCCCACCGGGGTCCCAGTGGCAGAATTTCTTAAAGTCTCAGTTTTCTCTTGGAGACACCAAGTTCCTGGCCGCCCAGACTGCAGTCACCCATCTCGGTTTGTGTGCGCCTCCTTGATTTATCTGAGGTGACCTTGGACAAGTGAGGAGATGACACGCCAGTCATCAGCAAGGAGCCCATGGATTGCTAGCAACAAAAGCCTGACTCTGAATATCTTAAGCAAAAGATGGTAATTAATTTGGGCCGGGGAGCCACAGTTCAGCACATGGATTTCGGGGCATGCTTGGAACACGGCACTCAAGAAGTACTCCCCAGGGCCGGGGAGATAGCTTAGCGGAATAAGCGCCTGCCTTGCAAGCACAAAGACCTGGCTTCCATCCCCAGTACCCAATGATGTGCTGGCCCCGCCCCCAGGCACGCTGTGCGGGGCACAGAAACTAGACGTGGTGGCTCATGCCTGTAATCCCAGCGCTGGAGAGGCTGAGACAGGAGGAACACTAGGAGTCTGAGCTGCGTAGTGAGACCCTGTACCAATACATAAATTAAAAGAAAGAAGAAAGACTCATTGGGCTAAAAAGAAAGAAAGAAAGCAAAACGAGTCCGTGGGCTCAATTTTTCTCTCTCAGTTTCTTAGATCCACTCAAGCCCTGCTTCCCCTCATAAAACTAAGATGGTTCCAGGTCTTCTCAGCTCCATCTTGGGTCTTTGACCTCTTCTATGCCCTAGAATTCTCAGCTAAAGCCTTCATCTTCTCTGTGATTAGACCATTTGAAGTCACATGTCCAAACTATCCAATCCCTGTGATCCATGTTGATAGAATATTCTGGTGTTATCCCATCAGAATGGGCCTCTGAGCTAGGATGCAGTGAGCCCCATCCAATCAAGAACTAAAAAGTAGGGGCCGGGAAGATGGCTCAGTGGGATAAGCGCTTCCCTGGCAAGTGCAAGGGCCTGAGTTCAATCCCCAGTTCTGCCAAAAAAAAAAAAAAAAAAAGAACTAAAAAGTAGAGGGTACAACTGAACTGGGGAAAGCAGCAACTTTTTCTTTTGGTCCACAGTGGGATGATTTCATGGAGCTTGGCAACAGTGTTCCTGATGCTCAGCTGGATCAGATCATCAAGAGCCAGAAGGCGAACCAGTGTGCAGTGCTCGTCTACACTTCGGGGACCACGGGCGACCCCACGGCTGTGATGCTGAGTCATGACAATGTAAGCAAGGTCCCCTCCCTCCACTGCTGTCCCTGGGATGGCTGATCTTGACCCTCAAGCTGACTGGCTTGGGGGATGCCCAGGAAGTGTGCAGAGGTAGGTCACAAGGGTATCTCTGGTGGTCCTCACACCTTCCCCTGAGCTCTGCTTCTTGCCTACTGTGAGGTGAGTGGCTTGGCCCCACCAAGCCCTTCTTTTTTATTTTCATTAATTGATGTTTGCAGTACGGAATGTCTACATTGCTCTGTGGAGCTGGCACAGGTACACATCTGAATTCCCTTTTGAAAATATGTTTTATTTATTTGGTACTGGGCCTCGCTACACAGCTTGGTCTCATAGTCATCTTCCTGTCTCAGCCTCCCCAGTGCTGGGATTATAGGCATGCACCACTATACTCAGTCTCCGTGGCTGGCTCAGAACACCTGGGGGCCAGGGCTGGTGCAGTATCCGATACTGGGGATTGAACCCAGGCCCTTGAGCTTGCCAGGCAGGCACTTAGACCACCGAACTATCTCCCCGGCCCCTTAATTCCCTTTTCAAATCCCCTTTCCCTCCCTGCTGCCCTCCCTCCATCTCTCCATCCCCTTCCCATTTGAGCAAGTTCTATCTCCTACTTTCTATCTTTTATGTTGCTCTCTATTTGCACTCTGGGGTTCGCATCTCAAAGAAACCACGCTCTGGGCTAGGGAAATGGCTCAGTGGAATAAGCGCCTCCCTGGCAAGTGCAAGGGCCTGAGTTCAATCCTCGCCCCCCCCCCAAAAAAAAAAAAAAAAAAAGAAAAAAGAAACCACTCTGTATTTAAGCTCTTGTGTCTGATTTACTTCACTTGACACAATGGCCTCAAGGCACATCCGTTCCCTACATGTGGCTCGCAGTTACCTCTCTTTACAACTCTACCTTGTGCCACCATACTCGGTCTCTGTGGCCGAGTTTCTTTTTCTACTCATCTTTTGAGGGAGGGATGGGCAGCTTCCCAGATCTAGCTATTATGAATGGTGCCGCTATAAGCCCGGGTGCGGCATGGTGTTTTTACCTCTTTTAGGAAGATGCCGGAAGGGGATAGCTAGGTCAAATGCAATTGCTGGCTTTCGTTTTTTGAGAACTCTCCATCCCATCTTCACGGCGGTCACACCAGTTTAGATTCCTACCAACAGTGTGGATGAGCCCTTTTCTCCCCACATCCTCACCAGTACTTGTTAGCACTGGATTTCTTAATGGTGGCTGTTCTCCAAGGTTGTTTTTGTTTTTGTTTTGCGGTACCAGGGATTGAACTTGGGACCTTGCACTTCCCAGGCAAGTGCTTATTCTACTGAGCCATCTCCCAGCCCATGGCTGTTCTCCCTGAGGTAGGATGGAATCTCAGTGTGGCTTGATTTGTACTTCTCTAATGGTCAACCAGCACCTCCTGTCGTGGTGTCTCTGCCTGGGAGCCGGCTGAGCATGGACTGAGCTCTCTGAAGCCTCAAGCCCAGATAAAGCTCTCCTCTTTAAATTGTGCTTTGTCACAACTGCCAGGGGCAGGGTGGGGTGTAGGGCTGCAGCACACAGTGAGTGGGTCCTTAGCCACTGGCCTTAGAGAGCTGAGGCGTGGCTTTAAAAGGCAAGATTGTGGGCTGGGCAGATAGCTTGGTGGTCAATGAGCCTGCCTGGTAAGCGCAAGGATTGTGGTTTGATCCCTGGTACCTCATGCAGTGCCGGCTCCGCAACCCCGGGGTGCCGAAACGGGGGTGGGGGGGGCATGGTGGTGCACACCTGTAATCCCAGCAGCGCTGGGGAAGCTGAGACAGGAGGATCACTACAAGTCTGAGCTGTGTAGTGAGACCCTGTAGCAAATAAATGAATGAATAAAAAGATAAAAAATAAATAAATAAAGGGCGTGGTGGAGTCCAAGGGTGATTTGGTCACTACTGTAAATGCACCAGGCAAGGCCGGTGCACCATTAAAAAATCTGTCTTTGAGCTGGGTATGGTGTCACACACCCATCATCCTAGCCCCAGGGGAAGCTGAGGATGGAAAATCAGAAGACTGAACACAGCCTGGGCAATTTAATGACTTATCAAGAACCTGTCGCCAAGCCTGGGTGTGGTGGCATGTGCCTGTAATCCCAGCACTTGGGAGGCTGTAAACAGGAGGATCACCACAAGTCCAATCTACATAGTGAGACCCTGTGGATCCTGTACTAAATACAAAAAAAAAAAAAAAAAAAAATTCTGTCTCCAGAAATTAAAAAGGATGGGGATGGCGCTCAGTGGGCAGGCCCTGGTCCCATCCTGGGACTGAGACACTAAATGGCAAAAGAGCCCAGAAGTTTGGAATCGGATGCAGGCATTGGCGGGCGCTCGCTGGGTGAGCACAGCTAGAGTGGGCCGCCCGTGTGAGCAGGTCACCAGGCTGCCCCTGTGTTCCAGATCACGTGGACGTCCGGCGCAGTGGTGCAGGACCTAGGACTCCCCATTGCCCCGGGGAAGCAGGAGCGGGTGCTCAGCTACCTGCCGCTCAGCCACATCGCCACACAGATGATGGACGTCTGGGTCCCTCTGAAGATCGGGTCCCTTACGCACTTTGCACACCCGGATGCACTCAAGGTGAGGCTGAGGCACGCCCAGCCACTGGGTCCCACAGGGCAGCCATTCCAGATGCTGTTTTGGCTTTTGCAGGGTTTTGTTTGTTTATGTATTTGTTACAGGGTCTGTAGGGTCTCACTACGTAGATCAGACTTGTGGCAATCCTCCTGTTTTCACCTCCCAAGTGCTGGGATTACGGGCGTGCGCCACCACGCCAGTCTCAATCTCCTTCTCATTGCGCCCCAGGGGCGGGGCCAGCAGGGCACACCAGGGATCAAACCCCAGCCACTATGCTCTGCCTAGACAGGTGCTTTAGTCCACTGAGCTATCTGGCTGGCCCTTGTTTTGTTTTTTGAGACAGTGTCTCACTACGTAGTTCAAGCTGACTTTGAACTCACTATGTAATCTAGGCTGGCCTTGAAATGACAGAGATCCTCCAGCCTCAGCATCCCAGGAGCTGGGATTACAGGTGTGTGCCACCATGTCTGTTGACTGCTGGTGTTATCTCATCTTGTGCCTGGACTTGACCATCTTTGAAAGTGAAAGCCGAACTTCTCAGGAACCCCTGCAGTTCTGCTTAGACCGAGCCTGTTTATCACTCTACTTCATAATAAGTTTTAAAGTCAGGTAGTAACTCCTCCAGGTTTTTTTTTTTTTCTTCTTCTTCTTTGCTAAGATCACTTTGGCTATTCTGGGCTTTTGGTATCCCTGTATAAAACTTAAGATCAAGCCAGTGTGGTAGTGCATGCCTGTCATCCTTGCTAAGGCAGGGGACCACAAGTTCAAGACTGGCCTGGGCAACTTAGTGAGCCTCTGTCTCAAAATAAAAAAGGCTGGAGCTTAGCTCAGTGGTAGAGCACTTGCCTAGTGTGCACAAGACCCTGGGTTCTATCACCTGTTAATGGGGGGGCACACACACAAAAACCTTCAGATCAGCTTGTCATGGGCTGGTGATATAGCTCAGTGGCACAAGTGCTTGCCTAGCAAGTGCAAGGTCCTGAGTTCAATTCCAGGTACAAAAATAAGACAGATCAGCTTGTCACATTGTATTTTTTTTTTTTTTTTTTTTTCTTAGTGTATTTAGTGCATGGTCTATAGGTCTCACTATGTACATCAGACTTGTAGTGATTCTCCTGTTTTTGGCCTCCCAAGCACTGGGAGTATAGGTGTGTGTCACCATGCCCAGTCTCAGCGTGCCCTGGGGGTGGGGCTGGCATGCACTGGGGATTAAACCCCGTCTGCTGTGCTCTGCCCAAGCAGGCACTTTAGTCCACTGAGCTGTCTGGCTGTCCAGAAGAGTCTGTCTGGATTTTGTGTCCAGGATTGCACCAAATTTATGAATCAATTTGGGAGAAAATCTTGCCTACCTTTTCACTGTTACATAACATTCCACATACACTTGGATCATTTCTTTAGGCAATCACTAATTGTCTAATATATAAATTGCTTCCATTCTATTACAAAGCATCTTGTTTGCATTTCCCTGTGGATCTGTGTGTTTCATTCAGCTAAATCCCTTCATGCACACAACTAAAATTGCTGGTTTGCCCTTAAAACATTGGTAGTACCTGGGTGCAGTAGTGCATAGCTTTGATCCTAGCACTCTGGGAGGCTGAGGCAGGAGGACTGCAAGTTTGGGTCCAGCCTGGACTACTTAGCAAATCAGGGAGGCTTTGTGTCAAAACAAAAAAAATTAACAGGGATGAGGCAGGAGATCAGTGTAAAGGCCCTGGGTTCAATCCATTTCCACAAAAATTTTTTTTCAATTAAAAATTGATAAAATTTTCACCTTACCTTCCAAAAATATCGGTTGCTGCACCTCATTAAATCCCTAGAAGTAATACAAAAATCTGATTGGCTGCCAGCCAGCCAATGGGTTGGCTTCCTTCAGTCGGGCTCCCTCCTTTGTCCAATCAGTGAAGGGAAGGGTCTCTAGTCGCCTTAGGTGGGCTGATGGGAGGAGATGGGCCTTTGGGGTCCTTGGGTCTCACAGCTGTGATTTCCTGCCTGGGTCCCTGCAGGGCACCTTGATCAGTACTCTGAAGGAGGTAAAGCCAACCACCTTCCTCGGGGTGCCCCGAATCTGGGAGAAGCTCCAGGAGAACATAAAGGGAAGCGTTAGCCATTTCTCAGGCTTGAAGAAGAAGATGTTCATTTGGGCCAAATCGACTGGTTTAAATGTGCACACGAATCAGATGTTGGGGTAGGTGGAGGCTCTAGAGTGCTGGGAGGGTGGCGGGTTGGGGCCCGCTTTCTGCTCAGTGGCTTTGAGCTGTGCTCAGCGTTGCGCTTCACAGGAAAACCACCGTTCCCATGAACTACCGCATGGCTAATAAATTCGTGTTCAGCAAAATCAGGAGCTCCCTGGGCCTCGATCACTGCCACTCCTTTCTGAGCGGGGCCGCGCCCCTCTCCCAGGACACCTTGGAGTTCTTCCTGAGCTTGGACATCCCTATCTGTGAGAGCTACGGCCTGAGTGAGAGCTCAGGGCCCCACAGCGTCTTCAGGTGCAAGGACTACCGGGCCCTCAGGTACCTGCCTCCGCTGACCTGGCCTCCCCAGCGCCCTGGGCTGAGGGCAGAAAGCAGACGGGCCAGATGATCCCGGCAGGAGGCTCTGGAAAGATGGTGTTTGCTTCTCTATCCTGTCGCAATAACCTGGACCTCTAAAGCGATTTTGTTTGCTGTTTCGCTTCTTATGCTGGTCACTGAATGGTGTGTGCCGTAGGCAGTGAGGTCTAGAGATGCACGGGTGAGGGCTTTTGTGGTGCTGTCTTCGGGCACTTTTCCTTCCTCTGCTACATGCGGGATAAAAACAGCCTCTAGCAGTGCTGGGTTTCCCAGGCCCCAGAGGGCCGGGTGTGTGGCACTGCAGGAGCACACACTTGGCGGGAACCCTTTGTCCTCTTAGTGCTGCAGAGAGGGCAGCTGGGCAGGGCGGGCACTAGGGCTCTGGGCTGCAGGTCCAGGTGGCCCTGGGGAGGAGACCTCTTCGCTCTGTCCCTCAGTTCTCCCACGCCTGTCCCCTGCAGCTGCGGCAAGCCACTGACTGGCTGCAAGAGCATGCTGCTGCAGGAGAATCAGGAGAGCATCGGGGAGGTGTGCATGTGGGGCCGGCACATCTTCATGGGCTACCTGGAGGAGGAAGAGGCCACCATGGAGGTGATGGATGAGGAGGGCTGGCTGCACACCGGGGACCTGGGCTTTGTGGACAGCCAGGGTTACCTCTACATCACCGGCCGCATCAAAGGTACTGGGGCCATGGTGCACCCTGTCATCCTGGTATTCTGGAGGCTGAGGCAGGAGGATCATGAGTTCTGAGCGCAGCCTGGACAGCTTGATGCCTGAGACTGTGTCTCTCAGAATTACAAAAACAAAAAGGGCTGGGGACAGAGCTGTGTGCAACAGCCCTGGGTTTCATCTCTAGGATCAAAGGAAAAAAGACAGCGGCCAGGTTGAATGCGCAGGTGTGGGCACTGGGTGGCCCTGAGGTGGGTGGGGAAGTGAAAGAGAAACCCCTGTGCTTCATGAGCCCTGAGGCAAGGACCATCTGTTGAGACACCTGTCCTTCTGTCCCCGTGGGGCAGGGCAGGGTTGGGGTCTGTGGTCACAGTTACTCTGTCACAGAGCTTCTCATCACTGCCGGCGGGGAAAATGTGGTCCCTTTTCCCATTGAGTCCCTGGTGAAGCAGAAGATCCCCATTATCAGCAATGCGGTGCTGGTGGGCGACAAGGCCATATTCCTGAGCATGCTCCTGACACTGAAGGTGACCTCTCCAGGGCGGCCTTGGGCGCCCATCCCCGCCCCAGGGTTCACAATTGGTCTCTGGGTCTCCAGGGTCTGGGTTGGGGTCTGGGGCTGGCCGAGGATGAGCACATGATGACAGGGCCATCCTGGGCAGTGCGAGACCAATCAGAGGAGCGGGGAGCCCCTGGACAAGCTGAGCGGGCAGGCCATCGAATTCTGCCGGGCCCTGGGCAGCCAGGCATCCACTGTGTCGGAGATCGTGAACTCAAAAGACCCGCTTGTCTACGCTGCCATCCAGCAAGGCATTGACGCGGTGAACCAGGAGGCCACCTCCAGTGCCCAGAGGATCCGCAAGTGGATCATCCTGGGGAAAGACTTCTCCATCCACGGCGGGGAGCTAGGTGGGTAGGCTGGGGAGCCGTGACCTTGACCTTCTGTGCTTGGCTCATCCTTGCCAGTGTGTGGAGCCGGGTGGGCTTCTGGGAAATGTACCCTTTTCTGGGAGCCGGAGGGTCTATGGGACCTGCCAGTTCCTCCCTTTACTCCATCTCCGGCCAGCTGCAGGGCTCAGCACCCGCCATTCCTGCTGCCCGTGATGCTCGTCTTCCTCCAGTCTGTGTCTGGACTGTCTCTTCCCTTGTGCAGATCTGACTCTGTAGGCCACTTTCTCACAGCAGCCTTCCCTAAGCACCCTGGCCACAAGGGCTCACCGTGGCCCACAGTACCTTACCTCGGAGCCTGCCATCACCAGTAGTATTAGCCTCCAGTATCCTTCCTTGCCTCTTTTTTTTTTTTTTTTTTAATTTTATTTATTTATGTGTGTGTGTGTGGCCAGCTCAGCCCACCAGGGTGCGGGGCTGGCTGGCATGTGGTGCTGGGGGATTGAACCGTGGTCCCTGTGCTTTGCTTAGCTTAGCTTGTTCTAAGTAGGTGCTTTAGACCACTGAGCCATCTCACCAGCCCCCTTGCTTCTTTAATGGGTCAGGAGCTGCAGTTATCCAGGGCATGCATTGCTTTCTGTCTGCTGTGCCCCATGAGAGAAGGGGCTCACTGTAGGGGTGGGGAACCTGGATACTACTCAAGTGCTTTCTTTGGGGCTTTGGCTGAGCTCTTGGCTATAATTTGTGGGGCTTTTTAAAAATATATATTTTCAGGGAAGGTGTCACTGCGTAAGGCAGGCTGTCCTTGCACTCAGGCTGCCTCAGTGACTCTCCTGCCTCAGCCTTCCACGTGCTGGGATGGCAGGTGTGCGCCCTCACACGCAGCTCTTGGCTGTAATGTAGGGGGAGGGCTAAGCACACAGCACTGAATAATCTGGGCTTGAATCCCATCCCCCTCCATGCAAAGAAATGAGCTGTCCCTCTGAGCCTCTGTCTTTTCATCTCTGTTAAAAAGTAGTCATAGAGTCATGGCCATGTTTCGTGGGTGTGTCCAAAACCCCTGGTGATATGGTTGTTGATGTGCTGGGTTGTGCAGTACACGTGGGTCTTGACCTGTCACACACATCTGGTTTTTCTACCCCTTCTACAAAAATCACCCAGAATGATTTTTTTTTTTTTTTTTTTTTTTTTTTTTTTTTTTTTTTTTTTTTTTTTTGGTGGAACCGGGGATTGAACCCAGGCCCTTGTGTTTGCCAGACAAGCACTTATTCTACTAAGCTATCTCCACAGCCCGGTGGGCCCACTTTGAGATGGTGGCGGTGCCCCCCCTCCCCCACTGAGCACACTTGGGGACATCTCCTCTCCCCTACGTACTGATGATGGATGCCTAGCTGGGCCACCCAGGGCTAGCCCCCTGGGCTCTGTCGCCTGGTCATGCACAGAGAGGGTGGAATTTTCTTGTACCCCCACAGCTCAACTGATTTCTCCTGTCTTGGTAGGCCCAACAACAAAAATGAGAAGGTTTTTCATAACTCAGAAATACAAGTCGCAGATCGAAAGTTTCTACCTCTGATGGCTTCTACAGAGCTGCTCCCTGTGGTGAGTTCCTTTGCTAGGCTGTGTTGAGTGAGTCCGACAGAGGGCTCCTGTGTGTGGCAGGCAGGTCTGTGTAGAGCTGCAGAGGACACACACGCACACACACACACACACACACACCCCTTTGGCCACAGTGGGGCCGGGGTGGTGCCCAACCTCAGGCTTTATCAGCGCAGGGCCATGGTTGGGTACGCAGCGTCCGCCACAGCTGGCTGCAGTGCTGGGGGCTGCGCTTCTTGCCTTTTCTCTAAGCCAAAGAGGGGGGTCTCCTTGAACCAAGGAAGGATGCGTGCCGTCTTCCCCCTGAGAACCAGCACCCCCAGATGTTTTGTTGTGGTTGTTTTCGAGAAGGCCTTTGGAAACTTTAACAGGGGATGTTCCACTTGCCAGGAGCCCTCCCTCGCATCACACTCCCCTGCCTACCCTTCTTTTCTTTCCCCCAAACATGTCCACAGGGTGCATCCGTGACACTGTGGTCACTGAAGTTTGGGGACCCAGATATACACACGGTGTGGGCAGGGTAGCGTTCCTCCACAGCTTTCTGAAGTGTCACCCAGGACTTCTTACGGGCAAAGCTGTTCTCTTATGAGCCAAGTGTGGTGGCCTATGTTTGTCACTCCAGCACTCAAGGAGGCTGAGGTAGGAGGATCACAAATTTGAGGCCAGTGACCCGTGGATAACACAGTGACACCCCCCGACGCCCCAAAGTTTCAAGTCAAAACGAACTGTTCAGTTGTGAGGCTAGCAGCCCGCCCATTCACGTGCGTTTATCTGGGATGTTTTAATAAAATACCAGGTGGAGGGCTTAGAAACAGAAGTTTATCATCCCGTAGTCCTGGAGGTAAAGTCAGATCGAGGTGACAGCCAGGTCCCCCCTGCGCACAGGCTGTGAGGATGAGCTGGTCCAGATGGTCCTCGGCGTGTGGGTGGACATCTCCTCCCTGTGTGTCTGTCTGCGGTCTCCTTTTTACAAGCATATTGGTCATGCTGGCCTAGGACCCACCTGCGCCACCTCATTTTGCCTTTTTTTTTTTTTTTTTTTTTTTTTTTTTTTAAGGAAGGAGCTACAGGGTGTTCAGGGTCTCTCTACTAGATCGGACTCGTAGTGATCCGCCTGTTTACAGCCTCCCAAGAGCTGGGATTAGAGGCACGCGCCACCACACCCAGCCTCAATCGCCATCTCAGCGTGCCTCGGGGGTGGGCCCGGGGATGAACCTCCGGCCCCATCAGGTGCTTTAATCCGCTGAGCTCTTTGGCCGGCCCTCATTTTGCCTTCTTGAATACCCCATCTCCAAACAAGATGACATCTGAAATCCTGAGGGTTAGGACTAGACGTGGGAATTTTGGAGGGACCGCTGTGCGCCGTGGGAAGGGGTGAGGGGCAGCTTCGTGCGCCATGCACTCGGCGGTCCACCTGGTGGAGCTGCGCCGCGGGGCCGGGCGTGGATGTAGCCGGGCGTGGAGCGCTGCGTGAGGGCTCTGAGTTTTACTCCCAGACCACTGTAAAAAGGTTTTCAAAAAAAGGTACTACTAACGTAAAATCACTAGATTTCAAAAGCTCAGGTTGAGGAACAGAATAGCTCAATATTTTAAAATCTTTTTAAAAATTATTTTAAGGGGGCCGGGGAGATGGCTCAGTAGGATAAGCGCTTGACTGGCAAACGCAAGGATGAGTTCAATCCCCAGTTCC